GGAAGCTTTGTTCTGGGGCCTGCTGGCCTGGGAGGGGAGTGCACTGCCTGCTGCTTGCAGTGCCGAGGCTGTGACAGGGGCTGGGGGCCTCAGAGGGCAGGTGGCCACAGCCTCCAGGGAGACAGTGAGGCCTTGGGAAACCCGTCCAGCTCTGGGGCAGGACCCTCTTCTCTTTGGACCATTTGGGATAAAAGCAGAAACGCAGAGGAGAGAACATGGTGGAGGTGACAGATCTCACCGCTGCCTAGTGCATCTGGGCCCCACAATCCCCTGCACTGCCTCCTCTGTTCAGAGGGTTGATGGAGACACCATGGGGGAGACCCCCTGGGGGAGCACCATGGGGATGAGGGATGGATTCCTGGGAGACACGGACCTGAAGGGGTGCTACAACGGGCTATCCCAGCTCCAGTGTCCCTCCAGTTCAGCGAGAGACCTAGGCCGGGACTAGGACGGGCCCAAGAGGCCTCACCACACCCCACTGGCCCATCCAGAGGCCCTTGGCTCCTCTGGGCCCTGCACCATGGGAAGATGAGTCTTGTTGGCAGACCAGACGCTGCCCTGCCTCAGCTCACATTGCTGCGGACCCAGCCGTGCTGACCTTCAAAGCCACCCTGCTTGCTCCCTCGCAGAGGCCGCCGGAGGTGGGACTGCAGGTCTGGAAAAGCTCAGGCAGGAGCACTGGCCCGTCTCCAGGTGCCCAAATGACAGCAGAGGCCAGCCACCCAACTTCTGGGAGCATCACTGAGGATGCCACATGGTCCCAAACGAGAGGCCCAGACCTCAATGCAGCAAGTCCCTATCAGGGCTACAGAGCACACAGCTGGCCAGCATGTGGAGAGGTGTGGACAGGCCCACCACAAAGGGCAGTTCGTGTGCCAGAGTGCCATCTAGAGGAAGACGAGGGCAATGCAGGCATGGAGCCAGACAGGTGCAGGCACAGGTACAATTTAAAACTGTCCAGTAGCCAGGGCGCCATCTGGAGGGCGATGGGGGCCGTGCAGGTGAGGGCTGGCCCCACGGAGCAGGGCAGGTGCAAGTGCAGGTACAATCTGAAACTGTCCAGCAGCCACATTCACAGAATTCAAAACCCACAGGTGACATTAATGTCACCACTACCTTTATTTAATGCAACAGACCCGAAACAGCAATACGTCAACATGTGATCGATGTAAAAGGTGGCTAATGAGATCTTTTCCACCACTTGGTCACAGCGTGTGCTGTGGGCCAGGTCCTGACCCCTTACAGAACTCACTAGGTGCTAAAGGTACGACAAAGACCGCCAGGTATGCTCATGGAAAGATGCTCAAGAGAAAAAGCAAGTTACAAATAATAAATCCCACTTTCATGAAAAGAAAAAAACAAAACATTAGCTTTGTCTCTGTGTAGAGAGAAATGGTCTGGACAAATGTAACAAGTCGTGGAAGGGGTTCATTTTCCCAGGAGGTGGGCTCACAGGTGATATCCACTTCATGACTTTCTTGAAATGACACACAGGTGACTGGACTCTGTAAGGTGTCAACCCTGGCAGCATGGAGTGGGTGGCAGCCTCCCACACACCCACCTGCCCATAGTGGCTTCCCCGCTATGTGTGGACCTTCTTCAGAGACTTGCTTGGGGCTGGCACAAGACAGTACATTCTTAGGAGCTCCTGACTTTGGCTGGAATCCCCAGGAAGACCCCAGATAAGGTTACATGTAATCAGGACAGAGCATGTTGCTCCCCAAATAAACCGGAAGAAGCCCTGTGCAACGGTCCCCAGTTTGCGGTTCCTCCCCTGCTGCTAAGCCTCACCCACTTTTTCTTTCAAAGCAGCTGTCAGTCACCTGCAGGTGCTGGGGCGTCTCCTGATGGTGACGTCTGGGCACGCCTAGGCACTAGGCAGCACTACGCAACACCACCCACGGGCACCAAGTCCTGCTGCTGCACAAGGTGTCAGCAACACGACCAGGCACTGCAACTCGTGGGGGCGGGCAGGGCAGGACTCGGGACCTCGGGGCCCCAGGCTAGCCTATCGGGGACCAAGTTTGTGAGGCCTGTGAACGAGGCCTCCCTTGCTCACCTGGGTCAAATGTAACAAGGGGAGACAGGAGCCCTTCTGCAGGTTCTGGGAAGAAGGGAGGTCCATCCTTCAGGTGTGCCCAGGTCTACACAGAAGCTTCCTGCTCTTGAAGGGTCCGGCAGAGGAGGAGGCACTGGGCTGGCTGACCCGCACTCACCTGTGTCCACCCTCAGTCCCAGAACCACAGGTCCCCTGGTCCTTTACGGAGGAGTGAGAGGTCAGATCAGGGTCAGGCCCTACTCTGGGCTTAGCGTCTCGTCGGAGAGCCCCAGACATGAGGGCCAGCACCCTCCTGGGTCCGCCAGCAGTGCATGGAGGGTGGGACAGCCACCCTCATCTAGGCCTGGACAGCAGGAGCACCCCAGGTCGGGTAGGAGTTGGGGAGTCTGAGGGAGGTGTGTCACACACCCAGGAAAGACCTTCACCTGCCAGCCAGGTGAGGGCCACACCCCAGCTGGGCCAGCAGCTTCCAGAGCAGGGGTGAAAAGAGAGCTTTGTTCTGGGCCTTGCTGGACTGGGAGGGCTCACCCAGGACAGCTTGCCCAGGACAGAGGTAACCAGCTCCCTCAAGCACAAGTATTGCTGGGCACCCGTGCTGAACCAAGTCCCTCCAGCATCCACAAAACTATGTTCCCTGAATGGCTACCACTGAAACCACCCAGAACAAAGCAAGACAACACTCTCGTTATCTGGATGAAGAAGGCCTCTTCCCGGTCCTTGTCATACTTGCGGGAAGAATTTCCATAAGCGAGCGACCTGCAGGCGGGTAGTCCCAGGTGATCTGCGAGCAAGTGGTGGTGCTCAGTGGTGACTTAACAAACTTACTTAACGAGGCACCAGTCACAGAAGCACATATGCCTTTGTTGTTGTTGTTACGTGCCACTGAGTCGGACCCGACTCATAGCGACCCCTCCTTGGGTTTCTGAGGTGGTATCATTACAGAAGTAGATTGCCCAACCTTCCTTCCGAGGAGTGGCTGGTGGGTTTGAACTGCCAGCCTTCTGGTTAGCAGTCAAGTACCTTAGGAACTATGCTACCAGAGCTCCTCACATGCCTTTATTAAAAGTGGAATGTTTCTAAAGGGGACATGGAGAGTGACTGGGGACGGCCATAAAAAGCAAAGGGCATCTCCAGAAGAGTGGAGATGGGTCTTCCCCATAGAATGTAAAGACACTAAACTGCCTCACTTACTGGTTTTTATACTCACAGGTGGTTTTGGGCTGTTGCAGGTGTTAGCTCATTAACCTTCTTAAATATTCCAAGGTCTGTGGTTGTCCTGTTTTACTTTAATTGACTAAATCTCCCAGGCAGTTGTGAGCAGTGACAGGTGTTAGCTCATGAACCTTCTGAAATATCCCACCTCTCTCCCTTTTCTCCTCCCTTCGGGCCTGTCCCTAGGGCAGGCCTCCCCTATCCTCTCTTCCTAACACTCTGAGGAATGACACACTCTCAACAGACAAGTGAGCAGGAGCCAGTCACCACAAGCAGCTGCTCCACCCCCTGGAGTGGCGACACCTGCAGGTGCCCCTCAGTGACCTGCTTAAGACCAGGCTGACTGCTGACCAAGCAAATGAAACACAACCAAGTGTCCCTGACCGAGGGCCCTAGAATGGAGAAGGCAAGTGAAGGGACAGGTGAGTGGTGAGGTGAGTGCTCTCAGACTGTAACCACCACCAGGCCCCACAAGACCTGCCTGCCCTGTGCTCTATCTCCTAGTGGGTACCACCTTCTCATCTCTGTGACACCATGGCCAGACCCCATGCCGACTTGTGGCAACCCACCTGCGTCTGAGAACTCTGCTCCACAGGATTTGGATGGCTGTGAGCCTTTGAAGTGGTCCCAGGCCTTTCTTCCAAGGGGCCCACTGGGTGTGCTCAAACCTCCACCCTCTCAGTAAGTAGCCAAACACATAACCCTTCGCATCACCCAGGGACCCCCTCTGTAATGCACACACATGCAAATGCCAGTGTTGAAACCCATCCTGTGTCAAAAGCTGCGGTGTCCTCCAGTCAGTCAGTGATCTAAACACAATGCAACCTGTGAGAGCCAAAACTCAACGGGACTGCCTTGTTTTTCCCCGTCTCGCAGGTTTTCCACCTTTGACAGGCATCATACCACTTTTTCTATCAATCTCCAGTGGGAAATATTTGCCCTTTCCTTCTTTGACAGGTTCCAGCTTTTGCAGGCTTTACAAAAACTATAAAATTCTTAGAAAAAAGCCCTTGAGGTAGATCCCATGACCTTGGATTTGGCACTGTTTTCATCAGTATGGCACACAGCACAAGCCACAGAAAAACCCACAAAAACTGTCTTGTCACATTATGACAAGCTTTGTGCACGAAAGTACCTTATCAAGCTAAGGGCCTAATGTACAGAACGTATAAAATTCCTGTACAACCCAACAACAAAAGACAAACAGCCCATTTACAATATGGGCAGAGGACCTGAACAGACGTTTCTCCAACGAAGACATATAAATAGGCAACAAAACTCAAAAACTCAAATCAGTGTTGTCAAGTCCATTCCAACTCCTGGTGACCCCCATTGGGTTTCCAAAGCTGTCTTTATGGAAGCAGACTGCCTCATGTTTCTTCCACAGAGCAGCTGGTGGGTTTGAACTACTGACCTTTTGGTTAGGAGCCAAAAGCCTTAACCACCACACCACCAGAGTTCCTTAAATAGGCAACAAGCCCAAAAAAGATGGTTAAAAATTTGTTGTTGTTGTTGTTGTTGTTTAAAAAGCTGCTTTGCCTTCTGCTCTCTGCTACAAAGGATCAGCCAGGCCTGTCCTCAGAAGACAGTTACACAACAGACAACCAAAGCCCACACACTGCGGATATTTGGAGAGAATAACCACCTTTCTTTTGGAAAACAAAGCAAAAGGCTGGCTGCCCCCAGGGACTAGCAGGGGCGGCAGGCAAAATGCCTGCGCAGCACTGACCTGAACTTCCCGGTGCGCACCTGCAGTGCCCGCATCCCACAGCGCTGGGCCCCACCAACGTCGCCCACGATGTCGTCTCCAATCATGATGGCCTGTCAAGCAGTGAAATACACTCAGAAGTCATGTCCAGAGCATTTTATTCCTGCACGCCTTCATCGTTTTTGACATAATAAACTGTCGACTGGATGTTTTAAACCCCCATCATATGAACTACGGAAGATAATACTGTCACCGGATTGATGAAAAGTCAGCCCACCTTGAATACATCTCCCGCTGCCCCCCACATACCAGGTCACAGCTATGAACAGTATGTATTTGCACAATCTGAAATTAATCAGCAGATGTCAAAGTGACTCGGTGCCACAAGGACACGTGAGATGCTGAGGCTGTCTGTCCACTTGAACACAGCCCACGCTGGAAATCCACCTGACGGTAAACACGCTATAACCCAGTCATGTGGCTGCGTGAACTGAGAACTCCCCACACATCTTTGCATTCTGGGGTTTAAAAGGTTCTGCTCTCAGCAATGGAAACACACGAAGTACTTGAAATAAAATTGCATTTCCTTTCCAGCAAACATTCCATACTTATTACCCACAGGAATTTTCTCTGATGTTTCCTCTCTCTATACCCGTGTTTCCCAAAGTGTGTTACCCACACTAGTGATGCACTATTTGATTTTCAGCAGAACAATGACATACGTTTTTACTGTAATAGTTTTGCATTTATTTTAGAGTAATCTATTTATGGTAAGTGAAGGAGTCCAGTCTTCCTTTATAATCATGATCAAAAACACCTTTTGAAATGCATTTAATAAAATTATATATAAAAAGCAAATAAAACCCACTGCCATCAAGTCGATTCCAACTCATAGCACCCCCCACTGGATTTCCGAGGCAGTAAATCCTTTTTTTTTTTTTTTT